TGAACGAAAGTATATTTTACATTAATTTAAAGAAACTGGTGATACTTATGATAAAATTAAGGACGATGAGGTGAATAGGGCATGTAGAATGCATGCAATATTAGCCTAAAAACCTGAAGAGGAGATTACTCTTAGAAGATGTATAGGAGTTGATAGAAAGATGTTTTTAATATATCTTAGAAAACCAGGATATGTGAATGTGGGCGGGATTCATGGACTTATGAAGGATTTATAAGTTGGTTACTGATAATGAAGCTTCACGATCCATTAAAGGATGAGATATCGGTAGATCACTGAGCGACTACAAGTTTTTCAAATGTGAATAAGAATGAGGTCTCTACATAGGCCTTTATTTATTATTCTAATAGGTATAAAATTATGTGGCTCGCAAATCGATATTCACTTGTTATAAGTAGCCGAGTAGTAAAATGAGGTTATGTGTCGTGAATTTGCGTGTTTTCAGTGTAACAAAAATTCATTACACCGAGCGTCGTAAAAGAGGTATTAACATTTACATTCATTAAAGTAAAAAGTGTTTTAATAAAACGTTCATAAAACCTGGAATACGATTACATATTACCTTCGCTCCATTTATCAAAAACCTGTTCTATTCACACATTTAAAATTTCATTAACAAAATACTTGTAGTACGTTTAACGGGAGATGAAACCGCGACTCTTAGCACGACACCAAAAGATAGCCTTCTAGCAATTAACTCGAAAGCTTTTTTTTTTACTGAACAAATACATCGCAGCCTCCCATTAGTTACGCCAAATTTTGCCTCAGGCTGTACCTGACTGAATCTCATCATACGAGAGTTGTCTTTCATTGGTTGGCCTGTACCATGGAAGTTCCACGATCTCTTATGACGTGTCGATTCGTCTCAATTCTGAGGCTAATAACTTAAAAATTAAAACGAAATACTAAACGCTGCTATTGTAATAGGTTCCATCACACTGCGGTTGCAGGATAAGAAATTTGCCCCTCCCTTGAGGCAATTTCATGTTCAAATCAAAACATTTTTATTGGTTTCCACTCGCGTTTATTGTCTTTGGGTGGTCCATTTAGAGTTTGCTGGCCGGCAAAGTAGAGGCGAGTCCATGGCTACGTCTCGTAACGCAAAAGCCATGTCTGCACGATTCAGAAACACACAAAAAAACATTAATTGAAGGCCTCAAATAATTTGAGGTTCTTACACCTTTTTTTGGAGCCAACAGTAAAATTATTTAATTTAAGAAATCAAACTCTACATACATTAATTTATCCAAAAGCTCAGAATATTGGTTGTAAAACGATCTCACAATCTAGTGGCATACGGGATTATGTTGACTGGATTAATCTGGCTTAGGATAGGGACCTACGGCGGGGTTGTGTAAACAAAGGTAAGGAAGAAACCATCGTGTTCTGTGTGAGACTAACAAATTCTTACTGAAATTTAAGATTTACGACTCACATTACTTCCCTCTTCTCGTCTTCATCTTGAACAAGATCAGACGCTAAGAAGATATCGTGAAAACAAATATTTTAGGGCATTATCTTTTAAAATCTCTCAGTATAAGAGATTTTGGGATCAACGAGAGAAATAAAGTATAGCTTAAAGATGTGGACTGCAATCGTCTGGTATTTTACAGTGACCAGATGCAGGCTAAAATTTCGAGTTCCATAAAATATGGGGAATTTCTCGACTATTAAGTTCTCAGCTTTCGTGTGATTGCTTGGAAGTTGTACTTCGTTTTAGTGGGCTAAGGGTTTGATTCACTGCTCGTATTCCCTGGTACTTTTTAAAAAAAAAATTAGTTCGTACTCGTCAGGGCAGGTTGTAACTGAACGTGATCGATAAACTTGAAACCAAATTAGAACATGTGTAACTGCATTGTCCAAATTCCGTTGATTTCGGAGCTCTGTTACAAGTTTACATTATCAAATTAGTATAAAAACGATTTAATGTTATGTGGCGTAAGAACGCATTTTGAATGTTAGTGCACACTTCAAAGAGTACATCCTTACAATCTTGTATACTGGTGCCTAATTTCGGGCACGGATGGGTTGTTAGAAAAGTTATGCTCAAGATGGCGCTGTTCTACTTATAATGGCACTGTTCCCCATTTTGACTCCCTGTTCGTAACATTTCCAAAACCCAGACGGAGGAAGATGTAATTAAGAAAACAGTTCTTAATTAAAAATATTTTAAGAATCCTGAATTCAAATTTAAAAAAAACTACAACATGGCGCGGTAACACAATAAGGATGTAATATTCATGAAATGCTAGAGGACAGGGTAGGGTAAAGTAAAGCTGTCCCACTGCACGCCATGTAGGCGCTTGGGGGGAGAGGCGACATAGCTCCTACTCATTCTTAACCTCGGCACTAGATGGGGTTAGTGGTCAGTGTCACGCCCCGGCCGTGCTTTACCCCCGGGAAAGGACTGGAGGCTGGTTGGGCCCCAGAGGATAGAGGAAAAATCCTCTGCCTCCGTCGGGGATCGAACCCCGGTCGTCCAGTCTGTAGCCTGTCATTGTACAGATAGTAAATATTTCGATTGTTTGTTTTACGTAACTGAACGCCAATTAGGCGTCTGCATTGTAAGTCCATGTTTAAACTAATACAATTGTAGGCTTACGGAGCTTATCGATTCATTGGTCTCGAAACGAAAAATTCACTTATTGTCTTAACTTCATAAAAAAACAAGTTTTTTTTTCCGCACGTAATTGAAGGTTAGAAACGGACGCGTTCAGCGGACACCTGTAGACTTATAGAGAGACCCACCTTCCACCTACCTAAGGGCCAAATGTAGCCGCATTTTTGTTGACACGAAAGTAATCTGAAAATAAGATTAGAAAGAAGGAAAAAAATGTAATCGTTTAAAATTCCAATCTCCTCTGTCTAAGAGCTTCTATATACCTCACACATAGACTAAGTAACCGGCTCACCTTTAGACCGAATTGCATGCAGTTTTAATTAACTAGTGCTAATGACTTCATGAAGATGTCGAAGGAAGTATCTAGTCCACCGAATACTCAGGCAGGGCTAGTGGACATGGTGGTTATCCCTCACGCACAGGGTGTGTCAGAAAAAATGTAAAGACAAACCAACTCTACACAGTAAATCCAGACACCAGGGCTCGGCTAATAACACAACGTTTTTACAATCTTTCCTCTGCGTGTGAACGAAGATTACAAATAAAATCTAAAACAAGGATTACAGGACCAATTAATATTAACCGGTATACACAGGACAGAGATTCCAATATTAATAATCAATCCCATACCACAGAATAACCCTTGAAAACGCCGTTCATAAATTAACTGATTTTATGTCAATTGAAAGTTCATTAGGATTTACCTTCTATCTACACAGCCTGTTTCAAAAACAATTTCTGCATTAACATTCCACCTACTCTTATGTAGCACGACGTTTCTCGAATTCTTCCGACAAAAATTTGTTATAACTTTTATTATTTCTCACAAATTTTATTATAGAAAGTTGTCAGACACGCAAAAACAAATGGTTTAACAGGAAAATTAGTTTCCTTTTTCCCAGGTAAATTCTTTTTAGCCTGCCAAGGCTCCTTGAAGAAGAATCACAGTGTATCTTTCAGACGTTGTAGGCCCCATACACGGTCAGTTAGAATGCTGAAATGGACTTTGTGACGTCATAACTGTGGTAAGAAATGCGTATTGTATCTGAAATGAATAAAACTGCCGTGTAGTTCAGACTCGCAGTTAAACACGAAATCCTTCATCAAACTTCTAGGCTTCAATGTACAAATATGGACGTCAGCGGTAATACAAATCAGAGAAGAACTTTGTAGGGTTTCCACGAATGTCATAGAAGCTTTCCTGTATTATATTACACGAACCATATGGCTTATAGCAAAGAAAACGAATGAAATTACTCAGCATTTCGCAAAGAGTTTATTGATAAACTTTAGAATCAAAACGGTCGACAGCCTCGGAACAAAGAAATCTCTGATAGGAAACAGATTTTGTCCTCTAGACTTTCGATTACTGATAAAATGATCCTTTGCAGGATGTGTAAAGTATTCGTGACTTTAGTTCATCGTGTACCTGAAAAGAGCACGTTTCTTCCTTATAATGAATGGCATTGCGTTCATCTGATGGCGGCTTGACATCAATCACTGTCTGACACGTAGGCCTAACATTTCCAGTTCCTCCAGTAGAGAACATCTCTGGCTGTAGACGAAAACTGTGATATTGGCTGCTGAAGACTTGTTAATAGCCGATACGGCCGTATTTACCCATACACACGAAGATCCTCATTTTAAAACGTCGCTTCAACTGGATATTGTATTCAGTGCAAACTCCACGTCAGTTCGATTTCGTAATCACTTTTTATGTGTACTTGAATTAAATTACACTCGATTAAGGCTCGTCGAATTACATAACTTATTAGGTCTATTTTACTTAATATGAGCCAGTAGACTACTTACTGATATAATCGGCATTGTACGCTCAATCTAACTGCCTTGTTTAACAAATGAGACGCACTGCACAGAGAGCAGACTGGCAGAGTTATGGCCAGCAACACTACCCGTACTAAAAACATTAGACTCGTTGTAGCTTCAGTGACGAATCAAGAATATTATACGCTCCTAATGTCGATATTTTATCCACATTATTACGCGTATAAAACCAGCGCTGTAATACCGAAATCTAAGTATTAGTAAAACGGTAATATCGGCCCGCATGTAAAAACATTCGGTAGAAATGCAGATCATTTTGAGGCCATAGAATGTGTTCAAATGAGATAAACACTTTCACGTTCATAAACTCTGATCTCATTTCATCAGAAAGTAGAAATGGTACTCAAAATACTCTCAAACTCTTCTGAGAGGGAGGACTTCCTTAGATAAACATCTCGCAATTCAATTGTGTCTAGTCTACCAACCAATAAGACTTTAAGTCTAATCAAGAGAGCACGGACATACCTTGTAGAATTTTACCCAACTAAATTACCTACAAATATATAAAATGGCTTACCTCGTACAACTATCTTGAAGGTAAAAATGGCGCACAGAACAATTCCAAGCTCAGGCCTGCAAATTAACGTCGTAATCAGCCACTTTTCAACACAACTCTCTGTAATAGACAGAGAAGACGACGCGGTCAGCGCATGGTCACGGGGGCGAGGGGTGGAGTCTAAACTCGCAGGCACAGGACCTGAGGGTTCTAGACCACGTCAGTGCGTCACCAGAAATTGCGTATGAAAAATTAAATGGGACAAGACTGCAGTGCAGTGGGACATTGTTTACAGAATGTCAGCGAAACACAAAACGATATCCGTTCCCTCTATTACACCTCAAATACTGCACGCAAACTGGCCTGTTCAAATGCACTCCCAAACACGTTAATGTTTTGGAAGTTACCAGAGGCCACAACGAAATGTTTTATTTTTTAAAAGACACCCTGTCTCTTGTAAAGGGACCGGATCAAATCAGACCACACAACACTAAACCATATTTTCTTAAGGTCTGTTTTAATATTAATCTTCCATCTATGCCTACGTCTTCCGAATACCCACTTTCCTTAACGCTTTCCAACCAAAATTTTGTGTCAATATATTTTTGTATATATATATATATATATATGTTGAGTATTTTGGGCATTTAATCTTACAGTTATGTATTACTTGTTTAATTGTACTTATCATACAACTGAATGATCTACTTCTGTTTTATTTTAGGTTGTCTCAGTGCAAGTTGAAAACGTCATTGAAGAAAGTTGCCACGAGATATATAGAATGGATAACCACAGAATTGGTTCAGAAACATGAAGATCTGTGCAAAAGGTCAGTTGTAAGTACTTTATATGTTGGTGTGTGAATGCTAGTGAGATTTTCTGTCTAGTGAGAAGGATCGTGATAAAATATATTTATTTTAAATTCATGCTGGTTGCTAGGGAATATTTTTTAGTGGTAGTGCTACTGTTATTTGGCCCTCATTCTTCATCTTTTATGGCTTAGATGCAGTTCACTTGTTCCTGCATCACACTGGCACACCGCTAAACCATTAACTGCGAAACTAAAGTCCAGCCGGCAGCCCCGATACAACTTATTTAATATTATTATGTCTAATCTATATTACACATCCACTCAGAAGTAACATTCTCTCTTAAACGATGTTTCAGTACGAAAGTTTAATTGACTCAGGAGGAAGTTACAAGAGGAATCTAAGGGAATTGGGAAGATAGGAAATACAGAAAATAACTATCACTAAGTTTTTTTAATTTTTAATAATAAAATGTACATCAGAAAAGTTACATTAAAATAAGATGTTTTAAAGCTGTTTTCATAAATAAGGCACAAAACACAGACTTTTTTTTCCTTTCTTGGATTTTTTACTCCGTCAAGAAACCTGTAGTGGTTAACGGGAGTACTGTAATTAAAAATCGGATTTATTGCTGTTTGCGGGCTTTTACTTAAGACAAGATGAATCGAGTAAATGCGCGTAGGCCCATTATTTATGGGTTTCTGTTAGTTTGTAATATCTATTATATGAATGACCTTGACATACAAATTGATTAATTAACTATAACACACACGTGTCATCTCGTCATGCGGTGGTGAACATTCTTAACGCTTCTAATTAAACTAACAAAGAATAATTTAGCTCCATTAGAAGGATGTACGTAGGTAGACACTTAAAGATTTCAAATTCTTCTCTATTTATTATCATATTTTGTCAACTTTTGGATATAGTTAAAAAAATTTAGAGTATTAGATCGGCTTTAGGGATTAACTCTAAACGCGGCAGCTACGATATCGTCTGAACGTCCAAATGATTTCAACAAACGACGAGGCTGAAACCTTACGCACAGTATGGATGTGTATTTTTAGATGAAAATAACTAACTAACTAACTAGATGGCTTACCGAAACCCAATGGTCCTCCTCGAGACCCGATTCTAAAACACCTGCAATCTTTGTTCCTCCCTCAGAGTGAGAGACCATGGTTCGCACACCTCTAGTAAAACTTCTGCGTTCCTCTCTATTGTATTTATGACGTCTCCCAATAAATTAACATCACCAGCGTATTCCAACAGCTGATGTGTCCCGTTCAATTGAACTTTCCTTATGGCGTATTCTAGCGTAAATTTAAAGGGCAGGTTTTAGTTGATATTATATTTACTTTACAAAAGTTTCTCTGATATTCAAATATTTAGCTGTCACAAAAACTAGACCGTTCTCAGTCTTCTAGGCAAATTCACGGATAGTTCCTTAAATTAGGCCGCGTCGCTTACTTCCACATTCTTCCCAATTCATTATTCAATAATCGCCCTCCTATTCAATAATAATAATTATACTAATAATACAAATGTGAGGACAGAAATTGCTTATTGCGTCAATGTTATTCAAACCAACGATCCTTGCAGTTTATGTAAACTGGCGTTCGACCAAGATTGGCAAGCCATAGGTTTCCATGTATTAGATTAGGAGAGAAAAACAATGAATATTTCCACTAGATAATTCAAACCGCAAAGATTAAAAAAATTAACGCAGAGTTCAATGCGAATTTTGAGTTACCAACAAAAGATTTTCTAAGAATACTGAAATAAGTTTTCATATTTCAACACGACAGGTTTCATTAATCTAATAAGGATTATCGATGTTAAATGATCATCGCTCAGATTCACGTTTCAAACATTTTCACAAGATCATCCACACAAAAAAATCAATAATCTATTCAAGACCATTCACACGAGCGTCCCCAAGCAAACGAATCGATCATTTTAGACTGAAGTCTGTTCACTGTCCGTCTTTGTATCATAAAAATACACGCGGGAGATTATTATTCATTGTCGTCTGTGATACCACGTGGTTCCTTCAAGTGACAGCCATCCAGCTGCCAGTCTCTGCACCCAGGAGCTGAATAAAGTTAGCGGAGATGATTATTTGACAGGTTACAAGGATCCACGCTCCTTTAGTCAGATGAAAGTAGAATGTCAGAAAGCCGGGTATCAAAATTCTTATAAATTCTTTATACTTCAACATACCCCAGTGTATGTCTAAATAATTCAAATAATTAAGAAATTATTTAATGACTTACTATTTCAACACACGGAGTACGTCAAGTCGAAAGCGTTCTTAATTTAATACAGCACATATACACTGTACGTAGCTACGCAGGAGACACTTTTTCGAAGAAAAAAAATATATATATATTCATTATCTGACGCTCACATTACAATATTAACTGGTCTATTACGTGTGACGACATGATTCTGCAAACTTCTTCATTTCTGAAGCCACTCGCCAATCTGAATGAAAATAATACCAAAGGTTTAAAATATGTGTAAAAAAAACCCTGTCTTCAGCAAAGTATAGGAAGCATTATTCAGCCACAACAGCAATTAACAGATAAAACTCTCCTCTTGGCGATCCGTTCAGAAAACATCGTCCTCATTCTACACGCGTCATGTATTTAGGAACAACACTGACACCAGACCACAGAAGTTCTCAGCGACACGTGTTGATAGCTTTCTTGAAACTGCACGTGTCACACGTGACCTCGCAGCACCATTTGAACCGACACCTGCAATTAATCTTCTCTCGGACCTGTCGGGTGTCGTACCCACGACCGCAGCACAGCAGCTCGCACCCTTCCACACCAGGGGACGTCGCGTTGCACTGTCGCCCCTGCGTCCCGACGGAGCCCGTCTTCCGGTTTGGCTTACAGAAATCGGGCGAGTCTTCGGAGTAGACCAAGTCGCTGCGGTCTGGCGGCTTTATGGTGTCGCCCTCGGGTATGAAGCTGTGGCCGTCGTTGCTCGGGATGACCTTGGCGGCCCCGTCGAAACGCTCCTTTAGGCGGTTACCGACGTCCCGGAAAGGAGGCATCTTGCGCCAACAAGTGCGCATCGCGCATGATCCCGACAGTCCGTGGCACTTGCAATCTGTCCTCATGAAGTTCTTCACTGCCTGGAACACGGAATTTCAGACGGACTACAGAACTCAGTTCCCGGTGAGCACGAGAATTTCACTTTTAGAAATTCCGCGTTCTACAACGTTTCAGGGCAGATTTTTTGTGGCCAAGAATCGAAATACTGAAAAACGTGTTATTAAGAATGCGGATTAAGTACTTTTAAATAAAATACACATCTATAAATATCTGTTAACAGTAAAACATTTTTAATTTCTATGTCAAAAAGTGTCTTAATTTAACGTAATGAGCAAACTCGATAATCATTCTCATCGTATCTCCAAAGCCAATCATTCAGACATCATCACATTACGACTGTTAGCAAATAGGCCACTTTATTTAGTTCCATAACTTGACAGCTACCATTTCAGTTCAGTCAAGGAAGAAAACATTCAGAAACAAAGCAGAGTAATACCTGAACCAGGTTCGTATTCCTAGAGTTTCATTGTCACCCATAAACACTAAATCCAGTTATGCATTAACTCTGAAGTAGACTCCGGTTTGTGACAACTGACTTATTACACCGCAATTATGTTGTTTACTGTCCATCGTCTGAGGTGAATTTAACATTTATTATGTCTCCAGAGTTCGCTATAATTCCGTCTTTGAATGTCATTACATAACTTACATGTCTCATAAGGCAATATGACAAAGTCACGTCTGGTTCACGTCGTCTATACTGTAACTTATAGGCGTATCTCAGCTAATAGACTACACCCAAAGCAATTTTTATTTTATGTAGATTTTTAATCGAAACCCAAAATATATGAGTTGAGGTTTTCACGGAGGTGTAATCTGGTGATACATGGAACTAGGACCCAGAAGAGAGCTATCTTAAAAAATACTTTTTTTTTAATTTACTACGACGTTTGGATGTAGACTTGTGACTTGTGAGTCATATGATAAATAAAAATGTAATTCAAAGTGTAGTCAACAAGAAATTTCTCTACACGCCCTTCTGGGCTAAATTTAAGTCGCTGAGAAACTCACCAGGCGACCAGCATCGTTGTTATGGAGTTTCACGAGGGTCTTGATGTCGCTTCTACGACGGTACGGAGCGTCCATGAAATCCTTCGATTTCCGATAACCGAAGTTTACGTTGTCACCGCAACCTCCCCAAACCCAGTCTCCGTCCGTCGCGGCCGCGGTCGAGGCCGCCGTGCTGCTGATGGCGCTGTTATCACGAGCGAACGGACCCAGTCGATTCTTGCCTGCAACACGCCACACCCTGTACGTAGTCCGAGCATTGCTCATTTCGAGTTGGTCCTTCGCGTAAGTTACAAAATTATAAAACTATTACAATGTTAGGGAAGCTAGATCCTGCTTCCGTCTTCAGGTAAGAATGACGCAGAGGACAGAAGGTCTATCTGTTGGGCCCCTTGACTGAGTTAGTCTCAGACCTGGACAAGGTCAACGAGAGGACCAAACAGATGTAGGCTTTTAATGAAGACAAAACAAAAGTTTTATATATTATAAAACACCAAAGTCAGACGCCTTCAAAACTTCGACCAAGAGATTTGCTTCTATATTAAAATGAAATGTTCTTCATACTCACATGATGTGAAAGTTTACATTCAACAGTTGGCAGACATGAAAAAGGTCATGAAATTTAGCAGTTTTTAATGAAATTCGAAGGTTCATTACCGTATACACAAAACGCGATATGATTTTCCTACTAGAATTTCTATGAAACTTTCCGCTGAAAAAAAAAGAACAACTCTGTACGACAGAGCCATCTTCCGTACCTTTTGTGGACTTGTCACAGCTGCATTCTATGAGGTCGCCCATCGTACACGCTCGAGTTACAGCGTACGTCACTCCGGCAGCCGTGATTGCGTTCACAAATCCAGTCTCGCGGGTGTCTGCAACACAAGAACACACGCCTGCACGTGTCTACATCATCCATCCTCAACACACCAAAAAAATTTAGATTTTAAAATTGCATTTTTACCGATTCACACTAGGGCGACAGCCGACAGACTTATGTTAATTACTTATACGACGTTTTCTGAACTGTGTTATTAAGAGTCGAATCTGAGGGAATAATTTAAACTTTTGTAAAAGTAATCGATCTTGGTATATTTTAAAATAACGAGTAAAAATATAAATATTATGAGGAAATTATCTTATTCTTAAACTGAACTCTGCCCTCCGTACCAGAATTTGAACCCGGCAGCTCCTGAATATGAAACGGTAGTTCTAAACACTTGGCTGTTCCGTTCGGTGAAACGTAAGTTTTAAATACAATTACGTTTCACGATCTTTATATTGGACAGTTTGACACAGCGATAAAAGAGATCAGATAATCCAGTAGTTAAGGAGGAAGCACGTATTTCCGAATAATCGATAAAAATAACACGTTAATGTGAAACAATGCAAACAACATGAAAGACGAATCATGGCAACAGAAATGAAATTCATGAGGACATCAGACTATATTCGCTTTGATTATAAAACGAATTCAGACAAAATAAAAATATAAAAAACCACAACCATCATTGGACTACAAAGAAAGTTACAGTGCTACTGGGGGGGGGGGGGGGGGGGGGAGGAGGGGGAAGGGACATGTTCTTGGAATGTCCTCTCAAGAATCACATTCCAAATTCCTCCTCACCAAACAAATGTATGAAGACTTTCGGCGAAATCTTACAGGCCCTGGCAAGAGATCGCGTATGACCACTGGGCGTATGACGTACAAAAGCCGATGATGAACACAGCACAATTTCTTTGAGATTTGTGGTTTTTACGGTCGGTGAAAATGTGAATTGTGACATTCTGGCTTGTGACGCGAAAATAATTTTACCCTAAAAAATGCCACTCGCTCAGAGTCACACTTCTCAATTCGTGGTCCATATCGCAGAGCCATTATTTAGTGAACTGTTTCAATTAACGTAAGGACGTGCTCTGACACCAGATTCTTCATCTGAAACGATTGTCCCACTCGCCTGAACTACGTTCCTCCCACGCGTGCGTGAACTGTAACGTAGGCCTATTTGGGAGATCCAGAGATTCGTCCAAGGGAAATGAGGTGTAAGGTTGAGACGCAATTCTGAGTGGCTTCGAATTTTATCCAGTAGCTGGATTTAGTATCTGTGGTGTTTAACCTCCGGGCCCTAATGTCACTCGGCTACCGTATGGAAACACGAAAGATGTATTTCCTTAAAGTTTTAAATCTATTAAAGTATAATTATTTAAGTCTATATTGTAGTATTTAATAAAGTTGAGTTTTTCAATGCAACGAAGAGCTTTATACTTGATACAACATTACTTTCATTTTCCCTTGAACAAGAATTTACAGACCCTAATTACAAAGCTTCTTACATAACATTCCTTGTAGTAGTTAATGCAGAATTTATGACCTGGACTCAGGAGTCTGCCACATTGTGATTACTGTCGTTAGTTACATTTTGTTTGTTTCGACCCAGAAAAGGAATTCGCTTCAAGCGGGCCTTCTTCATTTCTTTCCAGAAAGTAATCCTTTAAAACTTCAGATTCTCTGCTCTTTTTGTTAGATGTTGTGTGCATAAGCGTCAGTCTTTTGAACATTCTGTTAGAAGGCAGGCTTCTTTTCAGATGAGGTCGGCAACATTTATTTATTTATTTTATCTTAAGTTCACGCAGCTTGAAATAAAATGCATGCGATAAACCAATGCGAACGGGAGCTGGCGGTATTCGGCTTTTTCTACTGTTGCTAAGTAACTGTAATGAGTCTCCTGCCCCGACGGCATTCCAGTAACCTAATAGCCCCACTAACTCTGCTACAGTAATCATCCCCAAAAAATTTTCTCCGCCAACACCAGTTTGATTTTACTTAACACATAAGAAAGACTCATTTCTTCCAAACAGGTCTTTGCAAATCGAAGACTGTATTAAGAGAATGTTAATCTGGTACCTATTTTATTTATATTATTTAGTGTTCTGTCTGACGACAGGTCCACATGAACAGGATCCTTCCATCCTTTTCTCTTCTCGGACTGGGACCTGTTCATATACGTTCTTGGCAGATGATCCAGAAGTGGTTTGCCATTGCCTTCTTCTGTGTGTGAATGGAGTAATTGTTGGAATGCCACGGAGAAACCGTCGGAAGTTTTTCTCCGTGCTTCCGATACGGAATATGCTGACTTTTCGCAACGAAAACTTAAAATAAAAAATAGGCCGATTAATAGCGATTTGAATCCGCCTGTCGTTGAGGGTTTTTAAGTGATGTTGGAATTTAGTTGAAAGAACTCCCAGACAGCCCCAGTAATTACGTCTATGTTCTATCTGTCATGAAGATTCGAAACGATTCAATTTTGCTGTGTATCTGTTTAAAGAATCAAGTGCAGGAATATCGGAAATTGTAAAACAGCGAGATGTATTTAATGTATTACGTCATGTATCATATGCGTCCGCAGTGGAGTACACCTTTCCCCTTCCGGGCTATTTCACTTTAATGATTTGCCCTCATTGGACTCGTGGTTAGCATTTGCTCTTTGACCTCTGATTAAAACATTGAAACAGGAACAAAATTTGTCCTGGAGTTTTTACTATGTAAATATTTTTATTCGCTCCACGAAAATGAATTTAAATCAAATTGAGTTCTCATAAGTGATGTTATCTTAAAGTTTGTTGGTTCGATGTTTATTTAACAATTCTGTTTAACGTGTAGTGATTATTCAACGCAGAATGATAAATGCATATTAAACTATGCACGAAGAGGAATATTTTCGGAGAAAATTTCAAGATAGTGATGTATTCTTGCCTTTGCCCAAAGCAGGTACTTCATCTTCAGTGTCCGATGAGGCTGTTTCGAAGTGGCACAGCCACTGAAAATCTTGTCAGATAAAGTTACGTAAACAAGCTAAAAAATAAATATAAATAGCTATTAATTAAATCACTGACTGAGCATGCTTAAGCTATAGACAAGATTTGTACCAAAAATATAAATTATATCGTTAAAAAAAATCTGCAAACAATATTATAATTTCCGACTTGTCCTTCAAGATGTTAAATATGCATTAACTAAATTTGTTTTATCCTACGAACACTTAATAATATCAGAATTTTGATAGGTAAATGAATAGAGTAGGTATTATAGATACGTGTACTGAATTTCCGAAAACTTTATTATTATTTATTCTTTCTTCTCGGGTTTTCCTGGTACTGTTCCTCTTAGAACCACCCAAGCTCCAAGTTTCTGACTATCCACATTTCTTATAAAGTCTGAAGTTCTTCGTAAGACCTTTTTTTGTATAGAGAACCAATTCAAATTTTTCCTGGTATTATTATCAGATATTTTTTAGTCTTTTACGTACAATTTCCGTGTCTCCAAAAAACACGTCATATTCACATTCGCTAAAATTATACACTTATTATTATTATTATTATTAATTTGCCGTATTAATAAGTAATTTCTCCGTACTGTTTACGAGACCGTAGACATTCATAGGTAACGTCCGTTATTACGTAAATTAATTTTTTCTCAGTCTGCAGTTTAACTGCTCCCACCGTGTGCAGACTTGGACGAAGCAAGTAGCTACACGCTCTCTGGGTTTATTCGGATCGTGCACCTCGGCAAGTATTTTACAACGAAGCCATTTTGACGTGCTCACTAAACATTCATACCCTTCTCAACAAAATGAACGGAACTTACTTCCTTCCTCACGCTGATGTGACTTTTTCTGTCTATCAGCATGACGTGTACAATTTAACGACATTTTATCATCACCTGTTCACACATCATAAATTATTTATTGTGTTCTCCATTTTAAATCTCATTTTAAATTTTCATATCCTCAGACACTAAAAACATTAGGTCTTATTCGTTATATTACATATAAATTATCTTCTTTTGATAGTCTGCTTGTTTTATATAAAGTTCTAATTGAGTCAAAGATAAAGTATGCGTCTGTCGTGTGAAATAAGCTTATGTCGACACACTCCAATAAAATTAGACAATTTGTGATATCAGAATTTACTTCAGTTTAATGTTTAAGTGAGTTTGATTTAATTTCGAATTCTTTAAATTTTTGGAAAAAAACTTTATTCCAGACGACGACATCTCGACGCTTTCTTATTAATGTCTTCAAGGATAAAATAAAGTGACATTCCACATTGGACTCTGCTGGTATTCGCGTGCCTCAAGGCAAATAAGAGAATTGTCTGCTTTCGGCGTGATCTCCAGCTGCCAATTACATGCACTTTCTCGATACAAAAACAGTGTATCAATTATTCGTATTTAATTAAGTTCTGTTCTCACTTGGTTTTGGTTGTAGTGGTAATGTGATATATTTTGTTTCTGGTACGAACTTCACATTTGTCGAACACAAAACAACAGACTGTCGCCATGCCTATATTTTAAATTGTAAAGTCATAAAACTACACGCGAGCTGAGATTCGATTACAGCGTAAATTATACTCTGTAGATGAATATATATCTCTTGTTGATCAGTAGAATCTGAGTCTCAGTTACGTTTGTATCTATGGGAACATTACTTGTTCTTCGTGTTAGGTTATGTTTAGTTTAAATCCAGTACAAATAGACTTATAATACTCAGCACATAATCTGGACGTATGTTGTATTATATATTTCCATATAATTATAACGTGCCTTGCTTAAAAGTTCATTAATAATCGTTGTCCGAATGAAAATCATACAGGCACCATTTTTCCATTATACAGTCTAAAAACATCCTTCAAATTTTTTTAAATTTTTCTAATATGTTACCAAACGTCTCTTGTAAACCACCCGATGAATAATACTAGTGTCGCCATCACCTTACAAGTTCGCGAGCGTCTGCGATGTTACCCGCTTGTACGTAAATTTAAAAGTACAAGTTTCCATCAGCCATCAATGGCATAACGCTCCTATTAAATTTAATCG